GTGGTCGGTTGAAGATTGCTAGCTTTGGGGGGGAACGTGCAGATCTGCCCTCACAGAGGAGGGAGAGCTTGTACCTGAATAAAACTTGGTCTTAAAGGTGCCACTGGATTGCTAGCTATGGAGGGGGGGACACGCAGATCTGCCCTTACAGAGGAGTGAGAGCTTGTACCTGAAAGCAGGGGGAGGGGGCTCTGCAACTTTTTCTCCTCATGGCCTGACTGAGGGCTGCTGGGAGCAGGGGGGTGGGGCTTGTTACATGTGCCCGCCTCCTAGGCTCCTTACTGCCGGAGCTCCGGTCCGTAGGAAATGACCCCTGGGTAAACTGCTTGCAGGGAGAGAGATCAAGATGGGTCGGAGTGTGAGTCTGTCTGTAGCCGCAGACAAGAGCAAGAGTCCAGGAGCACCTTAAAATAAAAGACTAGGAAAATTCGTGGCAGGGGCGGAGCTTTCGTGAGTCACTTCTCACGTCTTCAGTCCCTTTGGTATAATGTTAAGTCTTCTGCATTGGGTGAGAAAGACGGTGTCTGTTTGTACCCGTGCAAGTTTCTTCACAAGGCTGATGGATTTCCGTTCTGCACGGCTAAATATGGCGCCTCCCGTGGAGACAGATCAAGTTGGGTCGCCGTGTCAGTCTGTCTGTGGCAGCAGAAAAGATCCGGAGTTAGAGATGTAAAATTTCCGGAAATTTTGAAGCTCAGAAAAAAACCCGTTTTTTCCCGGTTTTTTGGGGGGGGAAACGGAAATTTTCGGAAAAATTGAAAAAATGCTACATTAGCATTTCTTTTGTCTTTTCTAGATTGAAAGTCATTCTGTTACTTTAGGAACATAAAATATGACTATGGACATTTTTACTTGGCATGAAATTATCACAACTAGCATGTTAAAAATAATAGTGTATCCAAACAATTATTACAAGCAGAATACCCGCCCATATACAAAAACAAAATTGAACCCTTTTTCTTTTCTTGTGACAACAGCACCCCTTAAGGGAAGAAATGCATCTTGTTCTTGCATTGGAGAGTTCAGTTTGCTTGTCCTCAGTGCACAGACATTAGATCAATCTGATACCATATATATATATATTAGAAATGATTTGGAAAATATTTGAACACCTTTTCTTAAAATATTTTATTCATCATGTTAAAATAAAACGTTCCATAATCATTTTTTTCCTTTTCTTTTCTTTTTTCAATTTTTCCAATTTTTTGGAAAAAACCGAAAAGGCTTCAGGAAAAAAAATGGAAAAAACCCGTTTCCCCCCCGAATTTTTCCGTTTTTTTTCCGGGCCTTCACATCTCTAGCCAGAGTCCAGGAGCACCTTAACGAAGAAGTGAGCCGTGACTCGTGAAAGCTCCTCCCCTGCCACAAATTTTGTTACGTCTTTTAAGGTGCTTTTGGACTCTGGCTCTTTTCTACAGCTACCGTGCACAGGGAGGGCCCATCGCTTATCCAGGTAGTCCAAAGTGCAACGAAATGCGGTGTGAGTTGAGCTCCGTCTTACGCCTTCCCTTTGCCCTTCCCGCCCCAGGTACGAGCAGAACAAAACGGGGAGCGTCCTCATCAACAGTCTGTGCCTGTCAAACGGAGGTAAAAGTATTTATTGCAAAGAATCCCCCTTCGTTCGTTTTGTCTGTTCCTTTTAAAAAAATCATTTGGGGGCAGGAATGGCCGTCAGGTTGCAGCCAGCGAACGGGGACCCCGTAGGGTTTTCAAGGTAAGAGATGAACAGAGATGCTTTAAGAACATAAGAGAGGCCAATGTTGGATCAGGCCAGTGGCCCATCCCGTCCAACACTCTGTCACACAGTGGCCAAAAAATACCAGGTGCCATCAGGAGGTCCAGCAGTGGGGCCAGGACATGAGGAGTCCTCCCACTGTTGACCCCCCCCCCGAAGCACCCAGAATACAGAGCATCCCTTGCCCCAGATGGAGAGTTCCTGTCTATCCCTTGTGGCTAATAGCTACTAATGAACCTCTGCTCCATATCTATATATCTAATAGCAAAGGCGCCCCCTGCGTGCGGATATCTAAATCCGCACATCGGGGGCACCTGGAGGGCAGGGAGATTTTCCTGCACATCTGGGGCAATTCCCAGATGTGCAGAAAAATCTAAAAACTATAAAAAACTATAGGGGGGATAGTGAAATCCCCCAAAAAGAAAAAGAGCGTCCACCGCACATGCGCAGGGAACGCTCTTGGAATGGCTTCGATGGCGGCGGGAGGGGTGGGTCAAGAAGGCTTGATCGACCGGCGAGGCCTCGCTGCCGCCGCTGCCGCCTGGGGAGAGGAAGGAGAAAGTTTGGCGGGCCAGCAAGGCCTTGCCGCCGCCGCCAAGAGGGGAAGGGGGAAAGCTCGGCGGGCCAGCGAAGCGCCGCCGCCGCTGGCGGGGGAGGGAAGTTCGGTGGGCCAGCGAAGCGCCGCCGCTGCTAAGGGGGAGAAGTTTGGCGGGCTGAGGTCAGGCCTCGCGGGGGTGCCGGGGGGGAACAGGGGAGAAGGCTTACCTGCGGCTGCTTCTCCCGTGGAGCGTCTCTCCCCCCCCGTGAGTATCGTGAGTCCCCCTTCTTGTGCTTATCTAATTCCCTCTTGAAGCCGTCCATGCTTGTAGCTGCCACCACCTTCTGTTACCGTGAATCACAGGTTTGCCATTGCCTGGCTTTGCTTAGGGACTTCTGGACTCCCTCGGTGGTCTCCCGTGCAAGTACTGACCAGGGCCGGCCCTGCTTACTTTCTAAGATCTGACCAGATCAAGTTACTGGGTTAGGGAAGAAATCACACTGTTAGAACTTGAACATAAAAACTATCAATCAACTTTTGTTGAGAAATGGTTTCCAGTCATGAGTTACATGACACAGAATGGAATTACTCCTGATTATTTAGTTTCATCTGACGTGTTTATTCTATAAACCCCAGATTTAGAGTATGTTTTAATTTTGACCAATAAATATTAGCTAGGTAAAGGTTCCCTTGCTCGAAAGCCAGTCGAGTCTGACTCTAGGGTTGCGGTGCTCATCTCCGTTTTTATACTCCCACTGTTACAATTGATCTCCAGATGACAGAGATCAGTTCCCCTGGAGAAAATGGCTGCTTTGGAGGGTAGACCCTATGACATTATACCTGCTGAGTCCTTCCGCCCCCCCCCCAATGCTGCCCTCTACAGAATCCACCCCCCAAACCTCCAGGTATTTCCCTCCTTAGAGCTGGCAACCCTACATTCCCCTCAGTGCCTGTTGGTAGGCAACTAAGCTTGGTCCTGTCACCTACTTTGGCCTTTGGGAGAAAACACATTGGGGCCAATCCTGATAGGGTTGCCAACTCCAGATGGGAAATTCCTGGAGACTTGAGGGATGGAGCCTGAAGAGGGTGAGGTTTGAGGAGGGGTGGGACCTCAGACAGGTACACTGCCATAGACTCCACCCTCCAAACCAGTCAGTCCCACATAGGGAACCATTGTTGCCAAACTCCAGGTGAGGGCTGGAGAGCACTCAGAATTACAACTGCTCTGCAGAAGGGAGGGCAGAAGTCAGCTGAAGTCAAAGGGGCAGATAATGGTAGGTTGGTGGCTAGCTGGGAAGGAGATGGGGTTGCCAACTACATGCTGACAAATTCCTGGGGATTTGAGGGGTGGAGCCTGGAGAGGGTGGGGTTTGCAGAGGGGTGGGACCTCAGACAGGTAGAATGCCATAGACCCCCCCCTCCAAACCAGCCATTTTGTCCTGGGTAACAATTGCTGCCAATCTCCAGGTGAGGGCTACAGATCACTCACAATTACAACTGCTCTTCAGGTAGCAGAGATCAGTTCCTCTGGAGAAAACAGTGGACTCTGTCATTATACCCTGCTGAGGTCAGGAGGTGGGAGAAGAAGAAGATGAGGAGATTGGATGTATACCCCGCCCTTCACACAAAGTCTCAGAGTGGCTTACAAGTTCCTTTCCCTTCCCCTCCCCACAATAGACCCCTTGTGAGGTAGGTGGGGCTGAGAGAGCTCTTTCTAGAACTGCCCTTGAGAGCTGTTCTCTCAAGGGCAGTTCTTGAAAGGGCTCTCTCAGCCCCACCTACCTCTTAACCCTTTCTCTACCAGATCCTCTTGTTTGCAGAGTTACAGTATCCAACACAAGGTAGTCCCTGCCATCTGGGTCAGTGCAGAAGACATACAGAGGTGGTTTGTCATTGCCTTCCTCTGTGTAGCAACCATGGACTTCCTCAGTGGACTCCCCTCCAAGTCCTAACCAGGGCCGACCCTGCTTAGCTTTTGAGATCTGATGAGATCAAGCTAGCCTGGGCCATCTGGGTCAATGCAAGAGAGGTTCAGAGGTGGTTTGTCAATGCCTTCCTCTGCGTAGCAACCATGGACTTCCGTGGTGGTCTCCCATCCAAGTACGAACCAGGGCTGACCCTGCTTAGCTTCTGGGATCTGATGACACCAATCTAGCCTGGGCCGTCCTGGTCAATGCAAGAGAGGTTCAGAGGTGGTTTGTCGTCGCCTTCCTCGGCGTAGCAACCCTGGACTTCCTTGGTGGTCTCCCCTCCAAGTCCTAACCAGGACTGACCCTGCTTAGCTTCCGGGTTCTAGCAAGATCTGGATAACCTGGTCCACCCATGTCAGGGTGTACCAAAAACAGGACTCTGTAAATTAAACCAAAGAAATACCTCTCTGAATGGTTTTATGAGGACTGAGTAATCTTCAGAAGGCACAGAATGTTGACAACCGCAGAGGTTCTGTTAAGGCAGAAATGTCTGAAGTGGGGGGGGGGGTTAGTCCTGAAAGCTTTGAGAATCCAGGAGTGGGGAGGCTTTTTTGGGGGGGGGTGAGCCAGGATTTTCGAATCCCAACCAACGCTTTTTATGTGCTAATTACGTAGTTTGGGTCACTTTGGGACAGCAGAGACACAAAGTTAGCTTTGAACGTGTGTGCCGGGAATCAGAAAAGTGGCTGACCACAAACCCTTTGGCTGACTGCTTTTGTGGCACGGAGAAACAGCGCGACCGAGCCCTTTACCCTCTTCTCTTCTCTTCTGTAATCACTTGCAGGAATTTTCCCGGAAACTCACTACCCCCGGTTCATCCAGAAGGTAAGTGGCATTGGTGAAATATCTGTTTTACTTTCTTTGTGCTTCATGTCGAGAACGGAGGTGGATTCAAGGTTTTTTTAATCTGTTGGATGTATTATTTTCCGAACTGTGGTTGGTTGCTCTGCCTGTCACCTAAGAGCCCTGCTGGATCAGACCAGTGAGGGTCCATCTAGTCCAGCATCCTGTATCACTCATTGGCCAACCAGGTCCTGTAGAGGGCCGACAACAGGGCAGGGAGGCTGAGGCCTTCTTAAGAACATCAGAGGAGCCCTGCTGGATCAGACCAGTGAGGGTCCATCCAGTCCAGCATCCTGTCTCACGCGGTGGCCAGCCAGTTCCTCTGGAGGGCCAGCAACAGGGCAAAGAGGCCGAGGCTTTCCCCTGATATTGTCTCCTGGCACTGGAATTCAGAGGCTTAGTGCCTCTGAATGTGGAGTTTCCCCTCAGTCACCATGTAGCCACTGATAGACCTGTCCTCGGCGAATAATCCGTCTAATCCTCTTTTCTAGCCATCTGTGCCTGTGGCCCTCACTACATCCTCTAGCAGCAAATCCCACCTTTTAATCACTTGCTGTGTAATTTCTCTTCCTGTGAAACTTGCCTGCCATTTAGAAGGAAGTAAGTCCAGGAATTACCAGGAAAATAAGCGTGGGGTGGGGTGTTTCTGCCACCATGAGCTCTCATGTCTCTTTTTCACACTCTTTTTTACTCTTTCACACACCTTTTTGCCTCAGCTCAGGAAGGAGGGCTCCAGAGCAAACCAATGTATACAGCAGCCCAAATCATCTGCTCACAAGTTTAATGCCAGTAGCTCACAAAGTAGAATTTTTGCTCACAAGACTCCACAGTGTAGAGGGAGTTACTCGTTCATCGCCTCTCTCTTTTTTTTTTTTTTGTCTTTCCTCAAGATTCTCAAAGACGGCGGCCTTCTAACCCCCATCATCACCCGGCTAGCAAACTACTACGTCTTTGCGAGAGGGTAAGTTGAACTCGTCTGTTTTCGAAGTAGGAACCCTTCAACTTTGTTATAAAGACCCTCCCCCAAGCAACAAAATCAAGAGCGAAACCTCAGGGCCCACCACCGGGTGAGTCTCTTAGCGTTTCTGCAGCGATCTTCCTGTTTCTCTGGACTCTTGCAGGCTGGGGGCCGTCTTTGGCCCTTACACCCAGCCCTCGGAAGCGGAATACTGGGACATGTGGACGGCCGTCCGAACCAACGACGGAAACCTCGTATTAGACAGGTAAGGCTGCTGGATCAGCAGTGCAAAGATAACGGTCAGCTCTGAAGCTCACTGTGGAACTAAGCGAGGAGTGACCGTTCCATTCAGTCACCTCTCCAATAAGTGGGATTTCTTTTAAATAAGGGATAGTGGGCGACGGTCTTCGCAGCAGGCAGCGGCTTGCCAATTGGGCCGTATTCAACTTGGCTCCTTTCAGTGGAGGAGTTCTAAAAGTATGTCGTTGGGGCTGCCCTTGAAGATTGTTCGGAAGCTGTAGCTAGTGCAGAACAGATAAAAGGAAGTCCAAAGAGCGATGAACACATGGGATTCACTGCCACGGGAGGTGTGGGCGGCTACAATCCTGGACTGCTTCAAGAGGGAATTAGATAAGCACAAGGGGGGAGCCGCGATACTCGCGGGGGGGGGAGGGAGGCAGAGGAGGAAGCAGCAGGAGGAGGTAAGTACCCCCCCATCCTGCTGGTTCCCCCCTGTCCTCCACCCCCTCCATCTCCCCCCCCTGCCGGCCGGCTCCCAAAAGGCGGCGGCGAGGCCGGTCCTTCCCCGCCCTCCCCCTCGCTCGCGTGTTCGCCTGCCCGGCCGGCAGGCCAGCCGGCTCCAAAGAGGAGGAGGAGGCGGCGGCGAGGCCGGTCTTCGGCCGCCCGCCGGCTCCCAGAAGGCGGCGGCGGCGAGGCCGGTCCTTCCCCTCCCTCCCTCCCTCCCTGCCTGCCTGCCGCCGCCGCCACGCAAGCCCGGTAGGTATTCTTGGTGCCGGGGGGGGCAACAGTGGGAGGGCTTCTGGTGTCCTGGCCCCACTGCTGGACCTCCTGATGGCACCTGGTATTTTTGGCCACTGTGTGACAGAGTGTTGGACTGGATGGGCCATTGGCCTGATCCAACATTGGCTTCGCAATCACACTCACCTCCTTGTTCCGGATCGCTGCACAGCCACATCGCTCCCCGCCGTCTACATGCGGGAGCGTGCGTCGCTGTTTCTCTCTCTCTCAGTTTGGTCATGCGCACAGGCCGCCATCTGTAGAACTGAAATTTCTGCGCGTGCGTCCACTCCAACCCGACTGCTGTAATGCTTCCCTTTAAACTTTAAAGGAACGCTTCCCTTTAAACTTTAAAGGAACGCTTCCCTTTAAACGTTTACTGCTGAAAACGACCTCCGTGAGATCCCGAATTCGTCTAAACGCTAAAACTAGGCACCGTTTAAACATCGTTTTTAATAACGCGGTGGCGGAGCTCCGCCTTTGCGCACACCGCCAACGCTTTTTAAAAAATGGCGGGGGGAAAGAGGAAGCCTTGGGCAGCTTTCGAGCGGGGAGGGGGTTTAAGCCGGAAGTGGCTCGACACCGCAAGAGCGATGAAACGTCAGAAAAGTGCAGCTGAAACCGGAGAATCAGGAAAACACCACTTGGGGACCTGGTATCAAAATACTCCGGGTTAAAGCGGTTTTGAGCCAGAAAGCGACGGCTGGGGACGGGAGGCAGCTGTTGACCGTGTGATCGCGCAGATAAAATCCGTTTCCGAGGTGGGCCGAAAGCAGACTAAGCGGCCCGTCTGACCGCACCCAGGGTGTCTGTGGTGGGAAGGGAAAGGAGACTGTAAGCCCCTCTGAGACTGAGGGAAGACGGGGTATAAATCTAATCTCTTCCTCTTCTCCTCTATCCCTTCGTCGGACAAAGCCCGGTTCTTTGGAAAGTGAAGGCGCTGGGAGCGCTGCGGGGTTGGGGGCCCTTCCTTCTGCCAGCATCTCAGCCCTGAATCTTTTGTTGCAGCGAACAGGACTCCATTTTCCGCCAAGCGCGGCCCTCTCCAAGGAAGCCAGAATCGAATGTCCCGTGTGCCATTTAAGCATTTAGAACCTCCCGTGTCCCCGGCCCGTGGCTCTGTTTTCTCCAGACTCAAGCCCTCCTTTCAGGAGACCCAGCAGCTCGACTATCCTGTTTCAGGGACAGAGTTCTTCGCTTTGTGTCGGTAGCTGCAAATGAGCTCTTCTGCTGGGTCCTGTTACAGTCACCTGGAGTAACCTGGAAGGGTGTGCGTGTGTGTGAATTCAGTTAAAAGTCCCAGATGAGGAGAGAGGTTCTTGTGGAACATAGAGCTGGAAGGGGAACCCAAGGGTCATCTAGTCCAGCCCCCCCGCACCCTCCTTCTTTGGAGGTTTTGAAGCAGAGTGTAGATGGCCCTCTGACAGCAACAGGGCTGGCCCCAGCTTATTTTGCACCCTGGGCGAGGATCCCTTCTGGCGCCCCCCCCACCCTCCCGTGCGCCCACCATTTTTCAAAAATAAATGCATTTTAGGAAGAGTGAAAAACACAAATAATCAAAAAACTCCTAGAGTACGGGGCCGGGTGCAGTTTGGCGCCCCTAAGGGCCAGCCCGCTCTAGGCGATCACCTAGTTCGCCTAGTGAGTAAGCCGGCCCTGCTGATTCTGTGAACTGAGGCAGATCATGAGTGGGAGGGCAGGAAAGCTTGCCACCAGCGCTTCGTTCCCATGGTCCTTTTTTTACACACCCAGGGAAATGTCCATCACCACTTTCGAGCCAGGAAGCAATGGTTCTCGGGGCCAGGAAGCAATTGTTCTCCAAGCCAGTTTGGCCGGGGATCCTGGAGGGGTTTTTTGCCATCTTCTGTGCATGCAGCAGGGGTCACTGGGGGGCGTTGAGGAGGGGGGCGGTAGTTGTGAGTTTCCTGCCTTGTGCAGGGGGTTGGACTAGATGACCCAGGAGTCCCTCCCAACTTTGTTATTCTAATGCAGGCAAAAAGCCGCAAAAGAAAACAGGATCCTTGGGCCGATTTGACCCAAAGGAAAATCCCTTCCTGATCCCAAAGCGGCGATCAGGATATGAGTTAGACATACCCCACCTTCAACGCAGGAGGGAAATGAAAGAAGCCATGAATGTCTCTCAGGTCTTTGGGGAGCTTCTCTGCCAAGGCAGGAAATCCTTCTACTCCGTGTGTGCTGCTCCTGGATACTGTGCCCCCTTTGTCTCCCAGAGCTATGCAGCAGCTGGATCAACAGATGGCGTCGTGGAGAGGCAGATAAAATCCGGCTGCACTGCAGCTTAGGCTAAAGGTGACCACCGGAAGAGCCCTGCTGGATCAGCCCCGTGGTCCATCTAGGCCAGTCTCCTGTTTCCTGCAGTGGACAACCAGACATCCCAGTAGGCAGACCAGCTGCGTATGGAGGCCAGGGCCGCCCTCTCTTGTAGCCCTCCCCCAACAACCCGCCTGCAGAGGTAGACTGCGTCTGACTATGGCAGTTCCATTGAGCTGTCACAGCAACAGAGGAACCGAACGGCTGGAATACCGACACAAGTTGGGGGAAGGAGGCATGAAATATTTTTAGAAGATGGCAAAGAAACCCAGACAGTTGTGCATGAGTTCTGCATAGCCTGGGGGTGCCTGGACATGTGGGAGAAAGGTGGGTTTCTGAGCCGTACAAAAGTGTTAACTTCAGCCTGGGAGAGACTCATGTCAGCAGAGTTCCCATGGGCAGCATCAGGGCTATTTTGGGGGCAGGAACGCACAGGAACGGAGTTCCGGCTGGCTCCCGAGTTGGCCACGCCCAGCCGGAACTCATTAGCATAATAGGCCACACCCAACAGCAGAGACTCATTCGGATTGGCTACTTTTGGGGTGTGTGGCCTAACATGCAAAGGAGATCCTGCTACAAAAAAAGCCCCTGGGTTTTGACCACAAACAAGGTAAACAGAATAAGAAGGGAAAGGTGGGTGTGGCTGGATGACCACACTTCTGGTAACATGGGGGTGCGGCCTGATATGCTAATGGGCTGTGCTGTCAGGGGTGTGGCCCAATATGCTAATGAGTTTCTGCTATTGGGTGTGGCCTATTAGGCTAATGAGTTCCTGCTGGGCTTTTTCTACAAAAAAAGCCCTGGGCAGCATGAACCCCTTTCCTGTCATTACAAGCCTGGGGCTGTGGCCGTTCATCTAGGATGAACGTGCGGTACAGGATCCTCCTCGCGAACACGATTAACATTTCTCTCGGAAGGGGGTAATGCGTGGATGCTTCATGAACGCTATCGCGGCGCCGGGGACAAACGGACCGAAAAGAACGTCTATAAAAAAAATCGATCTAGACCTCCCCCCCCCCCCGGAACGCTTGCAAGAGGGGTGACTGTTCCGATCACTTCCGGAGAGGGTTCGGAGCCACCACCGAAAAGGCTCTGCGCTGGGCACCCGTGAACTGTTTGATGAAACGCATTTGAAGCTGTTAACTGTGCTTTGCTTTTCCTGTTCTGATGCTCTGGCTGTTTTTAATAGTTTTGTTGATTGTTCCCCTGCTCTTTGACGTTCTACGGTATTTTACTTTGTAAGCCGCCTCCAGCAGGGGCTCTGGAGAGGCGGCATAGAAAAGGGTCGTAAACGAAGAGCTGTCCGATGGACCAGACGGGCCGTCTTGACCCCTTTACGGGTGCTGGGCTTCAAACGTGCAGGCCTTTCTGCTGTGAATTGGCTACTTTGATAGCACGATCGACGCTTCTGCTCCCGGACTCCGATCCTGACATGTCCGTTTGCTCCTTCAGTATTTTACAGTACATCAACCAACGGAAGCAGCACAGAGACCGCTGGGTCGGGGCCCTGAAATCCACCTCTGTCCCTTGTGAGTACGAGACAGTTCTCTTCCGGGGAAGGGACACCATGCCGGGGGGGGGGTGTTCTTGCAACTCCATTTTCCAGCCAGTTTTGTGTGGTGGTTAAGTGTGCGGACTCTAATCTGGGAGAACCGGGTTTGATTCCACACTCCTCCACTTGCACCTGGCTGGATGACCTTGGATCAGTCACAAGTTCTCTCAGAGCTGTTCTCTCAGGAGCAGTTCTGTCAGAGTTCTCTCAGCCCCACCTACCCCACAGGGTGTCTGTTGTGGGGAGGGGAAGGGGAAGGAGATTGTAAACCGCTCTGAGACTCCGAGTGAAGGGTGGGGTATAAATCCAATCTCTGCTTCTTCTTCTTCTGTGTGACAAAGGCAAGCGTCTCAGAGCTGGGTGGGGGCAGAACGGGCTCAGCATCTTTGCCCCGAAAGCGAAGATATTTATCCGGTTTATGCCCGCTCTTACAAACGCCGTTCTTTTTGTCCCGCAGTGCATCTGATTTATGGACCGCTGGACCCTGTGAATCCGTATCCCGAGTTTCTTCAGCTCTACAAGTAAGCCTTGTTCTGGCCAGAAGAGAGTTTACTGTGCAGAGGCAAATGATAACATTTTTGGTGTGGTGGTTAAGTGCGCAACTCCTCCAGTTGCGCCTGGCTAGATGACCTTGGGCAAGCCGTAGTTCTGACAAGAGCTATTCTTGAAAAAAGAGCAGTTTCTGTCAAGAGTTCTCTCAGCCCTGCCTACCTCACCGGGTGTCTGTGGTGGGGAGGGGAAGGGAAAGGAGTTTGTGAGCCGCTCTGAGACTCCTTTGGGTAGTGAAGGGCGGGGTATAAATCCAATCTCTTCTTCTTTCACACAGCCATTTTTGGTGTCGTGGTTAAGTGCACGGACTCTAATCTGGGAGAATCGGGTTTGATTCCCCACTCCTCCACTCGCAGCTGCTGGAGGATGGACCTTGGGCAAGCCATATTTCCCTCAGAGCTGTTCTCTCAAGGGCAGTCCTGGAAAGAGCTCTCTCAGCCCCACCTGCCTCACAGGGTGTCTGTGGTGGGGAGGGGAAGGGAGAGGAGTTTGTAAGCCGCTCTGAGACACCTTTGGGTAGTGAGGGGCCATGGGGTATAAATCCAGCCTCCTCTTCTCTCTTCTCCATACATATTGTGCGGCTCCCGGCAGGGCAGCTGGGAGAGCGAAATATCATTAGCAAACAAATATCATTGGACAGATCAATATCATCAATATCTGCTTTTACCGCTTTTGATACTGGTTTTGGCAGTCTCGTTTAATGTTCATGAAAAGCAAATCTGCATATTTCCCAGTAAAAAACGTGTAATATTTGTTCATGTCTTGTGGCCCTCAAACAGCCGATCTTTATTCCATGTGGCTCTTACCTTAAGCGAGTCTGGCCACCCCGGCTTCACACCAACATGGCGACGCACCCTAATTTGCCGTCGTGGGAGAAGAGTGAGTGGACGGCATATATCTGAAGAGCCACAATCTAGTTAAATCGAGGCAGGCCCGTAGCCAGGATTTGGTGGCTTGTGGGGCAAATTCCCAGTGCAGAAAGGAAAAGCCATTTAAGCCCATAGAAAGTGGTGACCAGGGTAGAACTCTAAATTGCAAGCTGTCCACCGCTTTAGAGGACAGTCCTCCGCTGCTGCAAGTTAATCACTTCTGCCAGCCCAAGCAACAGTTCTGAGAACAAGCCGGCAGGTGGGGGCGGTGACTTCTGTAGTCAAGAAAGCTCACACTTAGGCAGAAAAACACTCTTAAAGGAGGCCAGTTTCTTGACACAGAGTTAGAAGATCCTAGAGGTCACCAATACGCACATCTTCTTTGTGCAGAGATTTCCATAATCCCTGGGAGAATTCAAACTTCCATTCCCTTATCTGCACCAGTCCCGTAGCCAGGATTTTATGGCTTGTGGGGCAATTTTTTTTCTTCCTGGTGGAGCTGAAGATCTCAGAGCAGAATGAAAAGCCATTTAAGCCAATAGAAAGCGGTTCCCAGGGCAGATCTCTAAATTGCAAGCTGTCCACCGCTTTAGAGGACAGTCCTCAGCCGCTGCAAGTTAATCACTCCTGCCAGCCCAAGCAACAGTTCTGAGAACAAGCCAGCAGGTGGGGGGGGGGGGGACGACTTCTAGAGTCAAGAAAGCTCACACTTAGGCAGAAACACTCTCTTAAAGGAGACCAGTTTCTTGACACAGAGCTAGAAGGGGTCCCAGAGGTCACCTACTCTTGTGGGGCTGTACCTTTAAGAAAGGGGGCAGGCCTGAATCTAGGCTCTGTGAAAATTAGATGAGGCATACTTGACGGGCAGTTTTGTGCCACTCAGCAACCCCTTTGGTGCCGAAACAGCAGAGATGAGAGGTCGCAGCAGCGCCAGCTGCCACTGTTGTTCCCGAGACCTGCCTGTAATGATTTCATGTTTTGGTGTTTGTGTGTGTTTCTTTAAATGTTTGACTGCAGTAATATGAGAAGAGTGATAGAGGGAGACAAGTGTGATGTGATTGGCTGATGACTGAGAGTGTGGGAGGAGGGGTGTCTATGAGGTGATTCTGTGGTTGAAGTTTGGAGAGAGAGGATAGTCTGTGAGACTGTGGGAGATTTTGAGTCCATTCTGTGTGAATAAGACAAAGAGTACAGCCTGCGTGGATATATATATATGAGAGATTAGACTGAGTGTCTAAGCCTGTCAGAGTGGAGATTTGGGAGTTTGAGAGACTGTTTGTGGCACCAAGCTTTGCCAGTTATATTTACAAGTTCCTTTCTCCAGCAACAGTTCAAAATAACCAGGAACATATTTTGTTCTTTATTAAATAATTTTTTGTTTAGACTTATCCCAGAAATCAGAATAGTCCTTCCTCAGGGCCACATAGTCCTCTGAAGTGCCCAGACTTTTGGTCATTCTACCAAAAGAGAGAGATCTGGAATGTTTAATTCCTGGTGGCAGCAGAAATCTACCAAATTTAGGTACACAGGGAGTGTTTTAAAGGTAAAACCGTCTCCCCGGTTTTAACACTGCCGGCCTGCTATTTCTACCCCCCCCCCCTTCCTGTCTTTCTGCAGGAAAGTGCTTCCGACATCGACAGTGTCCGTGCTGGATGACCACATCAGCCACTACCCGCAGCTGGAAGACCCGTTGGGCTTCTTGAACGCCTACTTGAGCTTCATCAACTCGTTCTGAACCGGAGACTCTTTTTCTTTTTTTTTCCACTCAAGAGGGCTTGCGGAACGGACTCTGGGTTCCTAAACCGGCTTCTGCCTGACAACACAGACTGTTGAAACTCCTGCATTTGGCAAGGGGGAGAACAATCAGACCCCTTTCGGGGCGGGCCTGATGTGGCCCGCCAGCCAGCACAACCCCTCCTCTCTGGTGGCTTCCTTCCTGGGAGGGAGAAACCAAATGGGATCCTCTCCCCCTCCCGGAGGAGTCGCCCTCCGGTTCACGCCTTTGCCCCTTCCTTCAGAGGGCAGACAGGACGCACCACCTGTGTCAGAGAGCGCACGGACCTGTTTCCGATGCATCGTCCCCCAGTTTCCTTCCTACCGCGAGGGCCAGTGAGAAAGCTCTTCTCCCAGGGGAGGAGAACCTGGACTAACCGAGCAGGGACTTTCCACCTCTTTTGCAGACTTGACCTCTGTTTCTTCTCCCGAGTTGTTTTAAGGGGCAGCGGAGAAGAGGAAGGTGTTATAAGCTGAGAGGGGCAGACAGGCACGTGGGGCAGGCTGCCCCCCCAACCTCCCCCCCAACCCTGCTAGTATTGAGGATGTGCCAAGGCTAGCTGAAGCTAGAACGGGAGGCAGGAGAAAAAAGATGTCCCCCTCCCCCATGGGAGGGGAAGTCCACAACTAAAGTAAAATGTGCTCTTCTTCATTCAAGCGTATACATGAAGCTGCCTCATACTGAATCAGACCCTCAGTCCATCCAGATCAGTATTGCCTGCTCAGACTGGCAGCCGCTCTCCAGGGTCTCAGGCGGAGGTCTTTCCCGTCATCACCTGCCTGGTCCTTTTTAAACTGGAGGTGTCGGGGGATTGAACTCGGGCCCTTCCGCATGCCAAGCGGATGCTCTGCCAACTGTAGCCGTGAACCTTGACCTGAATAGATCTGTTACATCTTGGTCCATCCAGAGCAGTATTGTCTACTCAGATTGGCAGCCGCTCTCCAGGGTCTCAGGCGGAGGTCTTTCCCATCCCCTCCTGCCTGGTCCTTTTTTAAACTGGAGATGTCAGGGGATTGAACCGGGGACCTTCTGCATGCCAAGCGGATGCTCTGCCAAAATGAGCCGTGAACCTTGACCTGAATAGATGTGTTACATCTTGGTCCATCCAGATCAGTATTGCCTCCTCAGACTGGCAGCCGCTCTCCAGGGTCTCAGGCGGAGGTCTTTCCCATGACCTCCTGCCTGGTCCTTTTTAACTGGAGATGCTGCCGGGGACTGAACCTGGGGCCTTCTGCATGCCAAGCAGGTGCTCTGCCACTGAGCCACAGCCCCTCTCTACAGCTCTCCAGGGTCTCAGGCGGAGGTCTTTCCCAGCCCCTCCTGCCTGGTCCTTTTTAAACTGGAGATGCCGGGGATTGAACCCCATGTCCTTCCGCATGCCAAGCGGATGCTCTGCCAACTGAGCCATGAACCTTGACCTGAATAGAACTGATACAGGTAGCTGCCTTCTACTGAGTCAGGCCCTGGGTCCATCAAGGTCAGCATTGTCTACTCAGGCTGGCAGCAGTTCTCCAGGGTCTCAGGCGGAGGTCTTTCCCAGCCCCTCCTGCCTGGTCCTTTTTAAACTGGAGATGCCGGGGATTGAACCCCATGTCCTTCCGCATGCCAAGCGGATGCTCTACCACTGAGCCAGCCACAGTCCCCCCACCTCTGGCGCCTCATATGGCTGTTGCTAATCCAAGCAGACAGTACAGGGCTAAACATGTATGTGGCAAGATCGCTTTACTCCTGAATCTGCCTCATAATGAGAGCCTCGATCCGCCACGGTATTGTCGCCTGTGACTGGCGGCGGCGGCTTTCCAGGGTCTCGGGCAGAGAGAGGTCTTCCGGATCACCTATAGCCTGGCTTTTTCAGCTGGAGATGCCGGGGATTGAACCTGGGGCCTCCTGCCTGCCAAGCAGATGCTCTGCCACTGAGCCACAGCCCCTTTGTAGCTCTCCAGGGTCTCAGGCGGAGGTCTTTCACCTCACCTCTTACCTGGTCCTTTTTAACTGGAGATGCTGGGGATTGACCCTGGGACCTTCTGCCTGCCAAGCAGATGCTCTGCCACTGAGCCACAGCCCCTCTTTGTAGCTCTCCAGGGTCTCAGGCGGAGGTCTTTCCCATCACCTCCTGCCTGGTCCTTTTCTAACTGGAGATGTCGGGGATCGAACCTGGGACCTTCTGCATGCCAAGCAGAGGCTCTGCCACTGAGCCACGGCCCCTGCCCTTCCCAGCTGCAGGGGTTAAAAGCAGAGTCGGATGAGTGTAACCCGCTTCCCTCTCCCCTGAGGGTCTGAGACAGGGCCGCTGTCTTGACAAGGGCGGGTTCCACGTCCTGGAAGTCTTGGCTTGATGTTGGCGGCAAAACTGGCCTCTGAGCTTCGCCACACCGTGCACTCCGCTGCCCGCTCCTGTGGGCACAGGAACTGTGGCCTGTCCAGACCCCTTGTAGGGACGGCAAGGCAGGCCTTTATTTGGCAGGTTAGCATCTGCCCAAGGATGCATCTTTTCTTCACCCTGTGAGGGGGTGGGGTGAAGGAACGGCTCGAGGCTGTGGGTTTCCAGTGAGGACCTTAGCAAAAGCTGGGCAAGGAGGGACCAAGCCCTAGGAGGAAAGGCTGAGGGACTTGGGAATATGTCGTCGGAGGCTTCCACGGCCGGAGTCCATTCGCTGTTGCAGATTTTCCGGGTTGTCTGGCCGAGGTCTTGGCATCGCAGGACCGACGTTTCGCCAGCAGCTGTGACTGGCATCCTTGGAGGTATCACGCAGAAAGAGGGAGGACTCTTTCCTGCCCACCATTTTTCTTCTCACTCTGACACAGAGAGTACTCCCTCTTTCTGTGTGATACCTCCGAGGATGCCAGTCACAGCTGCTGGCGAAACGTCGGGTCCTACAGTGCCAAGACCCTGGCCACACAGCCCGGAAAATCTACAGCAGCTAGTGGACTTGGGACTATTCTGTCTGGAGAAGAGGTGGTTGAGGGGGGATAGGGTTGCTCTCTTGATGTCTTTGAAGGGCTGTGTCACTTAGGGGAGGGCAGGGAGCCGTTCCTGTCGGCAACAGGAGGAGGAGTTTGCATTGAGGGCAGGAAGGTACCGGCTGCCTGGGTAGGGGGTGAGCCCCCCCCACTGGCAGTCTTGAAGCAGCGGCTGGGAAAAACCCTGGTCAGGGATGCTCGAGGCTGATCCTGCGCTGCATAGGGGGCTGGACTAGATGGCCTCTACGGTCCCCTTCCAACTCTGTGTGATTCTACGACTGCAAAACCTTCCCTCTGCTATTGGAACCTTCTGGGCTGGTGGAGGCCCGTGGCCTGGAGCAATGCAGGGACAGGGAGTGTGAACACAAGAGTTTTTCAGTCCTGGCCAGGCTTCCAAGTCATCCTCTTTGGTCATCAAGAAATAAGCAGGCCTGGCCTGCAGAACTCCTGGTGCTCTGGCTTCTGTTCTGCTCCCAAACTCCACTGATGACCACCCGGCAAGATGTGCCCCCCCCCCCCCCCGTGTACATAAAACCACTTGGAGAAAGTTCTCAGGCGACGATCTGTTAATTCAACCTGACCTACCTCACAGGGTTGTTGTGAGGCTCAAATGGCTGAGCCCCTCTCCTCCCCCGGCCAGGCCAGGAGAGCATTCAAAGCAACAGCATCTTCCATTCCTCTCACCCACACCCACAGGAATGCAATATATTCCCTCGCAGGACTCGGAATGCTGCCGTATTGACAAGGCGGCGGCTTTAACAGACTGGTCTCGCTGTGGCGCCGAGGCCAGAATAACCCACCTTTTATTTTCTGTTAATAAAAGTCCATTTCAGAGAGTGTGAGCTTCGATTAAAAAAAAAAAAGACGACGACTCTTCCAGGGCTCCCCAAACGTTTTTTCCACTGTTGCGATAGAGACAATATTACACACAGGAATGTAGGTGTCTCACAGCTCGGCCCCCTGATACAGTAACGCCGGAGAGACGGGCGGCAGCAGCCAGTTCCACCGAGAAGAAAAACGGACCACAGGAAAGGCAAACAGAGAAACATGCAGGGTGGATCCTTAGAGCCGGGCCTGCGAGAAGGGACGAGGGGGAGCCGTGGGATGTGCTCCCGTCCGGAGCAGCCGGGCCTTCAGCCGACAGAAGCCAGGATGACGTCCACTGGGGTTTCTTCTCGGCTCCGGGCTGTCACTTGCATCGTCACGCCATCGCCAAGAGCGAGCCTGGCCCTCACCAGGACGTCTGAGCCGCCTCTGTACACACCTGGGGTAGAAGGGAGGAATGAGAGTCACCCCTTGCAGCTAGGGAAGCAGCCATTCTGTCGCTGCCCCTACCATGCTGGGTCTGAATTCTAAAGGTGCCCGCAGGCTTACCAAGACTGGGGACTCTTGATCTAGGGCTCAGGGAGGGCCGTCATCCAGAGGAGGAGAAAGAGAGATCGGGCAGATGGGCAAAAGAACATGTGCCGTCCTGGTTGTAAAATAAAGCAGGCTTGGAGGAGGCCCCCGACCCTTTTTTGGCGCCGGTGAGCACCTTTGGTCCTCTGACCGCAGCTGCTGTGGGAGGGGCCGCACGACGGTCTCTGTGGTTCACACCTCCCAGTCCCCGAGTTAAGCTTCTTGTGCTGCCGTTACCAGCTGCTCCCAAAGCAACGTTTTTAAAAATCGGCACAGCCCCTAAGATCTCCAGTGGCCAATCAGAAGCCCTGCTGGGCAAGAGCCTCACCCGCTTTTTAGAAACACTTCGTGGGCACCAGGAGTCATTTCGTAGAAAAAGAGGTGCAGGAGCTCATTAGCATAACTTATTTGCATGTGCCACACCCCCTGGCATCACCGGAAGTGTGTCAGAAGGCAACACCCACCGCTCAGGCTCCACTGGACTGTTTTGGATTGCTAACTATTGGGGGGGGGAGAACGTGCATATCCGTCCTCGCAGAGGAGGGAGAGCTTGTACCTGAATAAAACTTGGTCTTAAAGGTGCCACTGGACTGTTTTGGATTGGTAGCTTTTTTTTGAGGGGGGGGGAATGTGCAGATCTGTCCCCACAGAGGAGGGAGAGCTTGTACCTGAATAAAACTTGGTCTTAAAGGTGCCACTGGAATGTTTTGGGCAGGGGGGGCCCCCTCTGCAACCCTGGTGGGCACCATGGTATTTGCTCTAGGCTGGTCCTGCATTGGGCAGGGGGGGTTGGACTAGATGGCCTGTATGGCCCCTTCCAACTCCATGATTCTATGGTGGGGACCTGATTGGGACCTTGAGGACAAGAATCAGAATTGTAGAGTTGGAAGGTGCTCCAGGGTCATCTAGTCCAACCCCCTGCACAATGCAAGGAGATACCATTTCCAAATCTTGCTGCAGAAGCACAGCACACTCGATATTTCCTGCTGTGCTAAATGTGTCCTGACGCAAACAGCACAGAGTTTGAGTCCAGCAGCACCTTGGACCAACAAAGTTTAATCCCGGGCAGGGGCCATTTCCTGCAGGAGCGCACAGGAGCGGAACTCCGGCAGTAAAGAGCCCAGGGGGCGGGCACATGCAACAAGCCCCACCCCCTGCTCCCAGCAGCCCTCAGTCAGAGCAAGAAGCAGCCAGGTAAGCTGCAGAGCTCCCCCCGGCCCAAAACAGTCCAGTGGCACCTTTAAGACCCAAGTTTTATCCAGGCACAAGCTCTCCCTCCTCTGCGAGGACAGATCTGCACGTCCCCCCCCCCCCCAATAGCTAGCAATCCAAAACAGTCCAGTGGAGCCTGAGCGGTGGGTGTTGCCTTCTGACGCGCTTCCAGTGATGTCAGGGGGTGTGGCATATGCAAATAAGTTATGCTGATGAGTCATGCTAATGAGCTTCGGCACCTCTTTTCCCACGAAGTGACCCTTGATCCTGGGTGTAAGCCTTTGTGTGCACATGCACTTCTTTCAGATACATTCTGTTTTAACAGAACAGAGTTGGAGTCCAGCGGCACCTTAAAGAACAACAGAGTTTAATTCTGGGTTATTGGTGCGCATGCACACTTCCTCAGATACAGACCAAGAATTAAATTTTGCAGGTCTTAAAAGGTGCCGCTGGACTCGAGACTTTCTTCTAAATACGGATTGTGTTCCACGGAGATGGAGTGGCCGTCTTAGTCTGTAGCAGCAGAGAACAGCAAGAGTCCACCCCTGCCACAAATGTGGTTAGTCTTTTAAGGTGCTCCTGGACTCTTGCTCTTTCTGACTGTATTCCACGTAAAGCTTACTGGCGCACAGTGTTCTTTACAGCCCCAGAGAACGGGGGATCAGTTTTTCAGCCTGCCTGCCGTGAGCCAGACGACAGACGACGGGGGGGCTCAAACGGCAGCCAGAACTACTGAGGCTAGAGATTCAAAGGGTGCGTTCAGACGCACCATTTGATCTGGTGTTGTGCCAGTTCAGAAACGGATTTTATGCGCGTGATCACAGAGGCGACATCTGCCTCCTGTCCCCAGCCGTCGCTTTCCGGCTCAAATCCCCTTTAAACCGGAGTATTTTGATACCAGGTTCCCCAAGTGGAGTTTTCCTGATTCTCCGGTTCCAGCCGCATTTCCCCCGTCTGATCTCCTGCAGTGTCGAGCCACTTCCGGTTTAAACCCCCTCCCCGCTCGAAAGCTGCCCGAGGCTTCCGCTTTTCTCCCGCCATTTTTAAAAAAGCATTGGCGGTGTGCGCATAGACGGAGCTCCGCCACAGCGTTATTAAAAACAATGTTTAAACGGTGCCTAGTTTTAGCCTTTAGACGAGTTCGGGATCTCATGGAGGCCGTTTTCGGGGTAAACGTTTAAAGGGAAGCATTCCTTTAAAGTTTAAAGGGAAGTGTTACAGCAGTCGGGTTGGAGTGGAAATCGCTGTTCTGCGCACGCGCGAAACTTTCAGTTCTACAGATGGCTGCCTCTGCGCATGCCCAAACTGAGAGAGAGAGAAAAACAACACCGACGCACGCTCCCGCGTGTGGACGGCAGGGAGCGATGTGGCTGCGCAGCGATACAGAACAAGGAGGTGAGTGTGATCGCGATTCTCCCGGTTAAAAAAGACAGCATCGGGGCCGGAGCAATTTAAACCGCTCCCAGCACGCCGTCTGCCCGCACCCAAAGGCTGTCTAACTGGAACACTTGGGGTTTAGTGGCAAGGGATTCGAGAACAGAGCAGATGAGAGATCTGGAGGGAGGGGGAGGCTGAGTGATCGGTCACCTTCGGCCCTCCGGCAAAGGCTGCCCTCCTCAAGAGAGATCAGACGCCCCAGCCCGTGACGGAACTCCCAGCAGGATTCTCACGGCTGCCTTGAGACAGCACGGCCCCAATCCCCCTCGCAGTTCTGAAATTCTCGCGGGACGACTCCCGTTCCCACGGCAGGAGTTTGGTCGGGAGCAATGTTCCCTCTAAACTCTGGAGTCTTGTGAGCAAAAATTCTACTTTGTGAGCTACTGGCATTAAAGGCGTGAGCGAGCGATTTGGCTGCTGCATAAAATTAATCTGCTCTGGAGCCATCCTTCCTGAGCTGAGACAAAAATGTGTGAGCCGGAGGCTAAAAAACTGTGAGCTAGCTCACACTAACTCAGCTTAGAGGGAACACTGGTCAGGAGCGGACCGGTTCTTACCCGCCAGGTAAAGGGTGTGGGAATTCTTGTTCTCCGGCACTTTATCGGATCGCTCGCACGGCTGCATACCCAGGAACTTCACAATGTTGCTGACGGCCTCTGTATTTAGGAAGGATTTTTTAAAAAAGAAAAGAGGTAGGGTCAGTCTTGCACTGTCGATCCAAAGCGGGGTGGGTGGGGCCAAGCACAGGACTGATGAGACATCTGCCTATTGTAAGTGGGGGGGGAAATATTAATTTGCTTCTGGAAGTTGAAGACCTACAGCAACTGCCCGTTCCCTGATCGGACCTGTATTCCGCTGAAAGCTCGTCTGGTGCAGTTACAACGCTGAGCCACAAGCGTTCGTTTCAGATCCCCTCGGCTATGGAACTCAGGGAACGACCGTAGGCCCTGTGAGCCTAACCTACCTAACAAGATTGTTGTGAGGATAACACAGAAGAGGGAAGGATGGGTGAATGGGAGGAAGGTTAGGATAATAAAACAGAGGAGGAGGAGAAGGAGATTGGGTTCATACCCCATGGCCCTTCACTACCCAAAGGAGTCTCAGAGCGGCTCACAAACTCCTTTCCCTCCCCCTCCCCACAACAGACATGGGGCTGAGAGAGCTCTTGACAGAAACTGCTCTTTTTCAAGAACAGCTCTTATCAGAACTACAACTTGTCCAAGGTCATCCAGCAGGTGCAAGTGGAGGAGTGGGGAATCAAACCCGGCTCTCCCAGCTTAAAGTCTGCACACTTAACCACTGCGCCAAACTGGCTCACAGGTCTAAGTCCCGTAAACTCAACAAAGCAGCGTTTAGAGATCCCAATTCCAAACCGTTTAAAATGATGCATTCTATTTCTTCCCTAAATTGGCTCCCAAAAGCAACTGTGGTTCTGGTGTCCCTGAAACCCCTCCCCAGACCTTTACAAGTCACCAAATGAGCATGCACGAGGCTGCCCGATACTGAATCAGACCCATCAGTCCATCAAGGTCAGGATTGTCTGCTCTGACTGGCAGCTGCTCTCCAGGGTCTCAGGCGGAGAAAGGTCTTTCCCATCACCTACTGTCAAAGTCCTTTCAGCTGGAGATGCCGGGGATTGAACCAGGGACCTCTTGCATGCCAAGCAGAGCCACTGAGCCACGGCCCCTCTTTACAGCTCTCCAGGGTCTCAGGCGGAAGTCTTTCCCATCACCTCCTGCCTGGTTGTTTTAACTGGAGATGCCACCGGGGACTGAACCTGGGACCTCCTGCATGCCAAGCAGAGGCTCTGCCACTGAGCCACGGTCCCTCTTTGCAGCTCTCCAGGGTCTCAGGCTGAGGTCTTTCCCATCACTTCCTACCTGGTCCTTTTTAACTGGAGATGGCAGGGATTGAACCTGGGCCCTTCTGCATGCCAAGCAGAGGCTTTGCCACTGAGCCACAGCCCCTCTTTACTGCTCTCCGGGGTCTCAGGCTGAGGTCTTTCCCATCACCTCCTGCCTGGTCCTTTTAACTGGAGATGCCAGGGATTGAACCTGGGACCTCTTGCATGCCAAGCAGAGCCACTGAGCCACGGCCCCTCTTTACAGCTCTCCAGGGTCTCAGGCGGGGGTCTTTCCTATCACCTCCTGCCTGGTCCTTTTTAACTGGAGATGCCGGGGATTGAACCTGGGGCCTTCTGCATGCCAAGCAGAGGCTCTGCCACTGAGCCACAGCCCCTCTTTGCAGCTCTCCAGGGTCTCAGGCTGAGGTCTTTCCCAGCACCTCCTGCCTGGTCCTTTTAACTGGAGATGCCGGGGATTGAACCTGGGGCCTTCTGCGTGCCAAGCAGAGGCTCTACCACTGAGCCACAGCCCCTCTTGACAGCTCTCCAGGGTCTCAGGCTGAGGTCTTTCCCATCACCTATGGCCTGGTCCCTTTTAACTGGAGATGCCGGGGATTGAACCAGGGACCTCTTGCATGCCAAGCAGAGCCACTGAGCCACGGCCCCTCTTTACAGCTCTCCAGGGTCTCAGGCGGAGGTCTTTCCTATCACCTCCTGCCTGGTCCTTTTTAACTGGAGATGCCGGGGACTGAACCTGGGACCTTCTGCATGCCCTATATGTACATCCATATGTACATATCATGCTGCCTTATACTGAGTCAGATCCTTGGTTCATCAAGGTCAGTATTGCCTGCTCTGACCGGCAGCCGCTCTCCAGGGTCTCAGGCAGAGGTCCTTCCCCTTCCCTACGGCCTGATCTTTTTAAAATTGGAGACGACGGGGACTGAACCGGCGACCTTCTGCATGCAAAGCGGAAGCTCTGCCACTGAGCCACGGCCCCTCCCCAAAGAAGTGCCACCACCTTACCCTCCAGGGTCTTTATAGAGCTGAGCGCGAAGGTCTCCTCTTTCTCGTAGTCGTCCCCCAGTTCTTCCCAAGCGGCCGCAAAGTTGGGCTTCAGGACCTTCTGGATGTGGTCGCACAGAGTGACCTCCAAGTCTTCTAGCTGGCGGGAAAAGGGAGGTGAACCCTCAGTCAGGCTACACAAAACACTCCTTTGTCTGGAGGGGCGGGAGGTGGAGGAAGACGGCCCCAAGCTCAGAGGGGCTCGTTGTTGGTAACTGGTAACTCTGGGGCCAAGCCCAACGAGAGCCCCCTGCGGGACCAAGGGAGGAAGACCCCACCCCCTGCTCCACATGCTGACAGAAGCCCTATTTCGAGGGGGACCTGGAGGGTGCCCCATGGAAGCAGAGGATTTGGGAGGGGGGGTTGCGCCAAGGGTACACCTCTTTCTCCCAGTGGAAAAGGTGTCTAATCCTGAGCAGGAAAGAAGCCAGAACGGTCACAGTCTTTCCTAAAGATAAAGACTAATTTCGAACGATGGTGCTTTTCAGCAAGGGATATTTTTGCTCCCGGGTAAAAAGGTGACCACAACCAATATTTACACCAAGAGTGTCAAACATGCGGCCCGGGGGCCGGATCAGGCCCCCGGAGGGCTTCTATCAGGCCCGCAGTGGAACTGTGGCTGTCTTCTGCTTCCAATTCTGCTGCTGCTGTGTCACTGCAGGTTTGCGGCTTACAGATACGCACCCGAACAGCATACTCAAGATTGCAGCAGCAGAGACATCTTGATGCAATAATCCAGAGCAAGAGGTGTCAGTTATCAGAGACGGTTAAATAAACAAAATATTGCAAGAGTGCTAATGTTCTGAGCATGATTTTATTTTAAGTTTAAAAAACCCTCTTTCTGTTTGTGTCCTTTATAAAGTCTGTATCTCCGCCACCTGGCGTTACCTTTTATGACACACATGGCCCAGCCCGGCCCGACGGAAGATGCTGGCAGAGCCAGATTTACCGTGTTTCCCCGAAAGTAAGACATCCCCCGAAAATAAGACCTCCCTGATAATAAGGCCCCCCGGAGCAGACAGGAAGTGCGAGGTCTCTTTTAATCAGAGAGCCCGCGCTGCCGCCTGCTGCTCGCTCTGCTGTGACGGAGAGTACCGTATTCTTCTTAATAAGACATCCCCTGAAAATAAGACCTAGTGCATCTTTGGGAGCAAAAATTAATATAAGACACTGTCTTATTTTTGGGGAAACACAGTAGTTGGAAGCTTTGTTGATGTATCTCTTGAGCAAACAGGTCTCCCAAACACTTGGGCTCCGACTGTCAGCTGCACTAGGGGCGTCTTTTTGCACTTTTGGAAATAAAAACTCAAGCCTCAGACTTTCCCGATCCCACTCTCCCCCTGCCAGTTCCAGGCAGAACAAGGAGGCTGGACTTACCACGTACTCGTCATCGTATCCGTCTTCGTCTGGCATGCCCGTGTTGGGGTCACAGTCGCGGACAGTGAACTTCATTGTGCAGCTAAAAGTGCAGGCCACTGCGGGGGGACAAAGAATGGGTGGGGGGAGTTTAAGACCATATGAGAAGCCAACGCTGGATCAGGCCAATGGCCCATCCAGTCTGACATTCTGTGTCACACAGGGGCCAAAAACACCAGGTGCCATCAGGAGGTCCAGCAGTGGGGCCAGGACACTAGGATGGACCCTCACTGCTCTGATCCAGCAGGGCTCTTCTGAGGTTCTTGGGAGTACTGAAAGCCAAACACAACAGTGTCAAAGGGGGAAGGAGGGCAACTTCTCTGCAAAAAAAAAAACCCCAACAGGGCAAGAGACGCCATTGGAAGACTCCTTTTGTGGCTTAAGAACATCAGAAGTGCCTTGCTGGATCAGACCAGTGTTCAGCATCTAGTCCAGCATCCCGTCTCACACAGCGGCCAGCCAGTTCCCCTGGAGGACCAACAACAGGGCAGAGAGGCCTTCCTCTGATTTTGCCTCCTGGCTCTGGGATTCAAAGGTTGCCTGCCTCTGAATATGGAGGTTCCCTTTCGTCAGCAGGGACAGTGGCCACTGATGACCTAGCCTCCATGAATCTAATCATCCTTTAAAGTTTGTGGGGTTTTTTTGGGGGGGGGGGGTCTTCTCAAATATTGCGAACAACGAAATGGAAATGGAGAAGGGGGTGAAATGCGACAGCTCCACAACCCCACGCGAACATCTTGATGAGCTCGGACAGAGGGGGCCGCCTCACCGGCCGTGGGGTCGTCCAGGGGCAGGCGGACCAGGGTGTAGCACATGCCCGGCTGGTTGTAGGAAAGGCTGGGGGCCGGGACGCAGCGCAGCACGTCGTGGGCTTCCGAGGGCTCCATCTGCACCGTCACCCGTTCCAGGAGCTGGTCGTTGAGGGTGTTCGTGCAATCGAACTGAAAGGGCAGAGAAATAAAAGGAAGGAAACAAAAACACCGGCCATCTGGTTACTTGCTTGTTTAAATGTCTACGCTGACTTTTATCGACGGCAGGAGTCCCAAACGTGACACCCGAGGGCACCCACCGACACCTCCTGTGGGGCCCACCAAGTGTTTTTAGAAAGTGGGCGAGGCTCGGTGGGTCATTTGCCCAGCAGTGCTTCTGACAGGCTGTATAGATTTTTTAGAATATTTGTCGCAGCCACCACAGCACAAGGATTGTCGCTGAGTGACGGAAGATAAGAGACCCCAGTAAGCCTTCTGATTGGCCACTGGAGATTCTTAAGAACATTGCCACCAGAGCCAAAGGATCTTCACCGTGGCTGGCCCCGCCTCCTGCAGCAGCCATTCTGTGGCTGGCTCCGCCTCCTGCAGCAGCCATTCTGTGGCTGGCTCCGCCTCCTGCAGCAGCCATTCTGTGGCTGGCTCCGCCTCCTACAGCAGCCATTCTGTGGCTGGCTCCACCTCCTACCGCAGCCATTCTGTGGCTGGCTCCGCCTCCTACAGCAGCCATTTTGCCGCTGCCCCTACCATGCTGGGTCTGAATTCTAAAGGTGCCTGGAAAAGTCACGCCATCTATGTTAATACTGCAAGCACTTTAAATGTTACCGTTGTAATGCTAAGAATATTTTACATTATTTTAATGTTTTATGGCTTTATGCTGATTCGGCATACTTTGCCGTCTTCTGTAAGCCGCCCAGAGCCTGTTTACAGGGTGGGCGGGGTATAAATAGAAGTATAGATAAATAAATAAACACACATGGGCCAGCCTCGCAGCTGCTTGACTGCTGCCCAGCTCCACAACCACACCCGAAAGGGAACTGGGAGGGCAAAGCGCCAGTTCTAACACAGGCCGTCGGAGCCCGCAGCCCGCTTTCTGATTCCTTGGTAGTTTCTCTCGCAGGGTAAGACCTCCCCTGTACCGCACTGGGTTCCTCTTTCACTCTGAAGATGGCTGCCTCCTGTCATTCCAGGATATCCCCCACCTCTCCACACCCTAATTCACCACCACTGACGCAGACACGGAACCTCATTTCCCCCATCAAACCCCCCCCCCCACATATGGAAAACCGGCATGATGGCCAAGTATAGGCTGGGCATCCCGAAGGCCTTCTTGGGCCAGTCCTCGGCAACGATGCCCCCTCTAAGCCATAGGGTCTTGCGAGCAAACAGGAGAGCCAGTTTGGTGTCGTGGTTAAGTGTGCGGACTCTAATCTGGAAAGAACCGGGTTTGATTCCCCCACTCCTCCACTTGCATCAGGCTAGGCGAACTCCTAAGAGTGCCATCGCAGCCTGGCTCTTTGTCCACACCCTCAGCAGAGGGGGAATAGGCCATAATGACACAGTGGAAATCCACACAAAAACATAAAAAATAAAAATAACATCTTCTTTAGATGTATTTCATTGTTCACTTGAATAAAAAAAAAAACTGTTGAGAATAAAAAATCTCCTCAGACTCAAAACTGAGGTGAGGAAAAAACACAGAGAACAGCAGTGGAGATGATCTCTCCGTGGCGGCAAAAAGAGAACTGAGGGAGTAGTGCCCCTCCTCCTGGTCATGTGAGCGTTTTGGCGGGAAAGCGCCAGAGGGAGGAGGGGCACTCCTAGTCTATTAGAAAGCTTGCAAATCTTTTCCGTGGCTGGCCTGCGCCTGCGCAGATCCCCATGTGTGCCTGCACAGAAGCCACGATGATGAACCATAGTTCTGGCACAGCTGTTCTTGAAAGAGCAGTTTGTGTCAGAGTTCTCTCAGCCCCACCTACCTCACAGGGTGTCTGTTGTGGGGAGGGGAAGGGAAAGGAGTTTGTAAGCCGCTCTGAGACTCCTCTGGGTAGTGAAGGGCCATGGGGTATAAATCCAATCTCTTCTCCTCTCCTCAAACATTCTACTCTGTGAGCTCCTGGCATTAAAGCTGTGAGCGAGGGATCTGGCTGCTGCCTAAATTAGTTGGCTCTGGAGCCCTCCTTCCTGAGCGGAGACAAAAACGCGTGAGCCGGTGGCTAAACAGACGGTGAGCTGGCTCACACTGACTCGGCTTAGAGGGAACACTGCTCGGCACCTGCCATGCGAAGATCCCAGACGGAAGGTGAACACCAGTCCCTTTCGTGCTTAAGGCCCCAGAGAGCCACTGGCAGGTCCGAGAACACTGCAGCACAGAGACCGGTGCTCTGACTTGGGATACGGCAGCTGCACATAAGAACATCAGAACATGAGAGAAGCCCATGTTGGGTCAGGCCAGTGGCCCATCCAGTCCAACACTCTGTGTCACACAGGGGCCAGAAACACCAGGGGCCATCAGGAGGTCCACCAGCGGGGCCAGCAGGACACTAGAAGCCCCTCCCACTGTTGACCCCCCAAACACCAAGAATACAGAGCATCCCTTGCCCCTGACATAAGAACATCAGAGAAGCCAATGTTGGGTCAGGCCAATGGCCCATCCCGTCCAACACTCTGTGTCACACAGTGGCCAAAAACACCAGGTGCCATCAGGAGATCCAGCAGTGGGGCCAGGACACCAGAAGCCCCTCCCACTGTTGCTCCCCCTCCCCCAAGCACCAAGAATACAGAGCATCCCTTGCCCCAGACTGAGAGTCCCTATCTATATCTTGTGGCTAATAGCCACTGATGGACCTCTGCTCCATATGTTCATCTAATTCCCTCTTGAAGCTGTCCATGCTTGTAGCCGCCATCACTTCCTGTGGCAGTGAATTCCAAGTGTTAATCACTCTTTGGGTGAAGAAGGACTTCCTTTTATCTGTTCTAACCCGACCGCTCAGCAATTTCATGGAGTGCCCACGAGTTCTTGTCTTGTGAGAAAGGGAGAAAAGGGCTTCTTTCTCCACCTGCTCTATCCCGTGCATAATCTTATAAACCTTATAAAACATGTTCAGGTGCTAGACCAAGGGTGCATGACTGGCCCCGGGACACCTGCATGAGCACCATGGCTGAGCGGAGAAGCTGAAGTTCAACTTTAAGACTGTAGGAGCCCTGTGGGATCGGAATAGTGACTCGTCTAGTGTGGCATCCTGTTCTACACTGCGGAGGAGCCCAGTTGCGACCAAATGGCCAACAAGCTGTGCACAGAGGCAAAGGCCTTCCCACATTGCCTCCTGGCACTGGGATTCAGAGGTTTAAGGCCTGCGGAAGAGCACAGTTTGAATCCACCAGCACCTTGTTGTTGTTGTTGTTCAGTCGCACAGTCGAGTCCGACTCTTCGCGACCCCATGGACTAGATCCCGCCAGGCCCTCCTGTCTTCCGCTGTCCTCTGAAGTTGGCTCAACTTCATGTTTGTTGCATCGATGACACTGTCTAACCATCTCATCCTTTGCCGTCCCCGTCTTCTTTGACCTTCAGTCTTTCCCCGCATCAGGGTCTTCTCCAGGGAGTGCTCCCTTCTCATTGGGTGGCCAAAGTATTTGAGCTTCATTTTCATTATCTGGCCTTCCAGGGAACAGTCAGGGTTGATTTCTTTTAGGATTGACTGATTTGATCTCCTTGCAGTCCAAGGGACTCTCAAGAGTCTTCTCCAGCACCATAGCTCAAAAGAATCTATTCTTCGGCGCTCGGCCTTCCTTATAGTCCAACTCTCGCAGCCATACATGACTACTGGGAGTACCATTGCTTGGACCATGCGGACTTTTGTTGGCAGGGTGATGTCTCTACTTTTTATCATGCTGTTTAGGTTCCTTACAGACCTGGAAAATTTCCAGGGTATAAGCTTTTGAGAGCCAGAGCCTCCTCCGACAAAATGCAAGTAGGAATGGAGACCCTGTCTCATCAAGCTAATTGCATTTTTAATTGTACCTCTGCAAAGAATCACAGAATCACACAGAGTTGGAAGGGGCATACAGGGCATCTCGTCCAGCCCCCGGCTCACTGCAGGATCAGCCTAGAGCATCCCTGACAAGGGTTTGTCCAGACGCTGCTGAAAGACAACAAGTAACGAATAGCAAATAAGCTTTAGATGATGCAAAAGGCGCTTATAATCTTACAAAATTACAGAGATTTCATAGATTCAAAGCATAGAATACAATCTTTGATGTAATTCCAGATGGACGAAATTCTCCGGAGTTACAACTTCCGTTTCGTAAGAAGAACTTCTTCCAGACATCAAAATCTCAGCAGTTGTCTCTTCTCATTCCATGGTTAAGTCCATTATAATTTCCCCAAGGGTAGAACATATTCTTGCAAGATAAAAGTCTTTCCAAATAACGGGCGAACAAGTTCAGTATCAAGCCCGTTATTCGGAAAGACTTTGTCTTGCAAGAATATGTATGATATGCTTTGAACCTATGAATTTCTGTAATTTTGTAAGGTTATAAGTGCGTTTTGCATTATCTACAGCTTTAGGAGCTGCGGTGGCTCAAGTGGTTAAGACGCTGAACTGCAGGCTGTGGAAGGTCGGGAGTTCAGCAGTTTGAGACCCGAGTGTGCCGCATGACGGAGTGAGCTCCCGTCTCTAGTTCCAGCTCCTGCCAACCTAGCCATTCGAAAGCAAGAAATTGCAAGTAGATAAATAGGTACCACTTCGGTGGGAAGGTCACAGCGTTCCGTGCACCTTGGTGTTTAGTCATGCCGGCCTCATGACCACGGAAACGTCTTCGGACAGCGCTGGCTCTTCGGCTTTGAAACGGAGATGAGCACCGCAACCCTAGAGTCGGACTCGACTGGCTTTCGAGCAAGGGAAACCTTTGCCTTACAGCTTATTTGTTATTCATTACTTGTTGTTGGTTATATGAGCTGTACCCCTTTGCATGTTGCTGCTTAAAGACGGCCAGGGAGGGAGAGCTCACCCCCCCCCCAGGCAGCCGGTTCCACTGTTGCACAACTCTGACTGTCAAAACGTTTCTAAGATCCAGCCGACACCTTCCCGCTCATAATTTAAAACCCTTCTTGCGAGTCCTCTCCTCTGCTGCCAGAGGAGTTCTGGCCCCGCTGGTGGACCTCCTGATGGCCACTGGGTTTTGGCCATTGTGTGACACAGAGTGTTGGACTGGACGGGCCACTGGCCTGATGCAACATTGGCTTCTCTCTTATGTTCTTATGTCCGGGGCAAGGGATGCTCTGTATCCTTGGTGCTGGGGGGGGGCAAGAGCAGGAGGGCTTCTGGAGTTCTGGCCCAGCTGGTGGACCTCCTGATGGCCCCTGGGCTTTGGCCACTGTGTGACAGAGTGTTGAACTGGAGGGACCATTGGCCTGATCCAACATCGGCTTCTCTTATGTTCTTATGTCTGGGGCAAGTGATGCTCTGTCTTCTTGGTGCCGGG